GTGTCCGCTCTGTGCCCGCCCTCGGGGCGTGCCCCGGCAGCGGGAGAAGCCGTGCGGGAAAGCGGAGGTGCTCGCAAGCCCGGCTGGTGCCAGGAGCTGGCTTTTGGTTTGCAGTGGGTATGTCTTAAAGGAGCGCTGGTGTTTGTTTCCGTAGGAGAAGCGGGGAGGCATCCCGAAATCCTGGAAGTGCACTGAAAGGTAAGTGGAAGTTAAGAATTCTCTTGACAGCTGCTTCTTGAGTGGGATGGTTACTTGGTTTCGCCGAGCACTTGTCTCCGGGGGCTCGGCGTTTTGCATGCTGCGGCTGTGTGATTGAGAAGTGTCAATTGCCTTCGTATCTGATTAATTAAAATTATGTTTTGCGTTCATCAAGCTTGAGTGCATAGTCCCCTTCGTCTGAAAAGAGACTGGTGAAAGATAACTACACAGTCAGTGACTTATAAAGACTTAAATTATTCCTGAATACAGTAATGCTGGTTTTTGTTAGCAGAATACAAACTCCATTTTGTTAATTTCTAATACTCTTTTAAGAATGAGAACGAACACTGATTATTGCATGATGCTGGCAGAATTTTGGGACAGGCTGTAGTACCTTTTTTTAAAATATATTTTGATGTAAAACTACTTATGTGTTTCAGATTTTTTTTAATAGGGATATTGGAAGTCCACGAGAAGAGTTTCAGGAGGAATGGCATTATCATGTTATTAACAGTGAAACTGTTTTAAATAGAGTGCCCTCTGTTTAATCCAGACTGCCTCAGTCTGGTTTTAGTATTGAATGTTTTTCACTATGAGATAAAGTCTGGAAGATTCAGAGCAGTCTCTTCTCAGGGTGAGCAGAGACACATTTGTTTTTCTGTAATGTTAGGGGGGTGGAATTGTAGGAGGGCTCTTTATTTGTGAGGTGCCTGAATCCTTGTCTTACAGAGAATGAAGTTCTGTCAGATACCTGAAAAGTATTTATTTTTTCCTGTTGTGGCTGAAAGTTAATGTGTACATGTTCAAAGTCCAGCAGTGCTGAGGAACGCTGATATTTTTCTCAGAAATTTTTTTCAGTGACCTATAGGCACATCTGATACCAGATAGCTTGGTTTTGTTTTTCAAGGGAAAAGTACAAAGTCCTGCTTTTGTTTATGTTTGGTGCTTTTTGTTTGTTTGTTTTGGGGATTTATTTTGTGGTGCTTGGAAGCATAACTGGATTATTTATCCATAAAAGAATGCTGGTATTGCTGAGTCCGTCAACATGGACGTTCAGTTCTGATCTCAGAGCATTGGCTTTGTGTGATGTGTTGCAGATGAACAGAACTGTAGCAGGGGACTGCAGTTGGCACAATTTGTCTTCAAGTACCATCTCTTTCAAGGTTTAACAAGGTTTTGGGTAGCTGTTCCTACCTCTCTCCCCCCACCCCTCCAAGTACATAAAGACTCTTGATAAGTAAAGCTCTGTGCAATTGAGAGATCTGCTCTGCCATGTTTTGCTTCCTAAATTTCCTTTCACCATGGACCACAGTCTTTTAAAAATAAGATTGCATATATGAGGGATGTGATGTTTTGGGAACTGATGTGATGTTTTGAAGCTGTATCTTCACCAAGTGAGTCTGCATAATTTAAAAGGGCCTACAGTCTTGCTACAACCTGTTTTGAGAAGGAAGCTTCACCATAATTACAGTGCTAGTCTGAAGAAATCAGTAGTATGCACAAGGAAATAACATAAAGAAAAGAAATTTTCATTTTGTGTAAAAAAACAAAACAAAACAAAAAACCAAACAAAACCAAAACCCTGAATGTCCTTTAGGGTGGGAAGGTCGTCGGGATTCCATGCAGTAATCAGTACTTTTTGTGGTTTATTCAGTTGGTTTTGTTTGTTGTTTTTTTTTTTTAATTTATTATGCATGGTGGTGATGCTTACTAAAAAGATTAAGTATTCTGGGATAAAGTTATGTTTGCTTGTATCCAGCCATGGATATGATTGTTGGGATTCCTGCTCGTGTTGCTGGGTTAGAGGAAGGTGGCATGGTTTTCTTGACTAGCTTTCAAAAGTCCATGTTTCTGAGCAATTGTGTGGCTGTGCATTGTGTATTAGCAGACTGTGAGATACATTAAAGGTACTGCTGTTCTCTGCCTGTGCCTTTAATGTTCTCTCTAGCACTGAATAGTGTTTTGTGGTGTGCTCTTCATAACTGTGTTCTGGAGTACGGAGCTGTGTGACTGACAGTGACTTGAAGTATTTTGAGTTTTCAGATGACAAAAAAGGATTATGGCATTGTTGTTCTGGTTTTTTCCCCCCTCAATATCTTAATATATATTTGAACTATTTAAATACCGCATCTTTTTTTCCCTGAGTGTTACTTTCCCCAGCTTTGTATAAGTTGTCATTTACAAGTCACTAGAAGCCTTTTGTCATTTGAATAAAATGGTCAACCTGCTTTAATTACAGTGATGATGGAAAAGATCTTTCTGTAGTCCATTTTTGTTTCTTTGGATGTCTTTTAAAAAAGGCTGTGAAAGGTGGGGAAGGAAATTATCTTCTCAGGCATGATTAGAGGGCTAAATATTTTATGGATAGTATCACAGTCTCAAACCATTGTTTCATCTTTCTCTTGGAGAAGGGATCGTCTGGAGCAGTAGTTGTAGTTTCTTTCTGTTTGTGGTGTGTGCTTGGGGTTTTTTGGAGGGGGCAACCCAAAGACCGTTCTTCACAGGAACAGCCATTTGAGTTTAATCTGCTATTTTCTCTTGAAGTCTAAAGCTCTGAGATCCTGGTGTATGATAGGACCATTGTTTCAAGCCCTGCTTGTCTGCCACAGCTGACAGTATTTGACAGCAGGTGCTTTATTCTTACACTCTTTCCTGGGCAGGCATATAGGGCTACTCCTTAGGTCAGCTCTCCCAGTCTTTCAGTGGGGATGATGTTTGGTACGGATTTCAGTTTAATGTATATACTTAATTTATAAAAAATTCCGAGCCCATGTATGGTTTTTACAGCTCCCATGTTTTCTGTCAATAAGCACTACACTTCATGTCTTGTGTGAATAAGTCATTCCTCTGTTCTCTTTGCAACCTGTTACCTGAGAACTTCATGTGATACTCCTCGTTTTCTTTATCAGGAGGGGCAGAACTGTTCACCTCTTTCCCAGGCAGTGTGATCTGAGTTGAGAACATTTAAAGATCAGGGTAATGTGTTTGCTCAAAGACTTGTCTGGGCAGGAAAATAATTTTAGATTCCATTACTTTTCTTTATGCTTGTTCTCTTATATTAAGATACGAACTAACATGAGGAATTGAGGCTGGAGACTTCCCCAGCTCACTGTTGGTGAAGGACATCTGTGCCATAGTAATGATCACTTAAGTCCTGTGGCTATTTTCAGGGAAAATTGATCTGAGCAGAGACAGTCACAAATAGTACAGTTTGATTTGCTCATTCAGTCAGTTATTTTCATTTCCAAGTAGAATAATTGTGAGAAGTAATTCTTGACTTATTTAATGCTGTTTTCTACAGGTTTTTTTGAGAGTAAGAAAGTATTTTGAGGTTATGTTTGCTGTTTTATCTACGGCTGGTTATACATGCCGGTTGAATTTTTCTCTCTCACCACCTTTGCTTGGATAATTCATGCTTCTAATAACAAGACAAGTATTTTTCAACTTTAGTCTCAGGGCAGATGTATGGAATGACTCAATGTGTCTCCATTTTTATATAAAATTCTGACTTTAGTTTCTAAGCTTTAAATGTAAGGTCAAGAGTTAGAGGGGCACTTCTGATGAAATAAAAATAGTTATCTAGTAAAACCCCACTGTAAAACAAAAATCTGTATTGCCAGTAGTGCCACAAGAAGAGAACATATAAACCACAATCAGGGACTGGCTGAAATAGTGTGTGGTTTGCAAACTGTTTCAATATGTACTGCAGGTTATTAATAATAGCAGAAGTTTTGTATTGTAAGGAAAATTCCTGTGTGGCCATTAGTCATTCTTCTGTTAGAGTTACATTTTTCTATCAAAATTATGCATTTGGGTGCAGGATTTTTATATTCTGCCCTCCTTAGAGCCAAAGAAGATAGAAATGGTGTGCTACAGATGTTTGTGTGACATTTATGTTCATGTGTATATTTTAAGAATAATAAATTATATGGGCAGGGAACACATTTGCCTAACAAACCATGTAGCTACTTTTAAACTAATCTGCATCTTTAATTTAATGCCACTGTAAAATAATTTGTATCTCATGTACCCTGGTGAAAGGTTAGGCTGAACTCCATAACAGTGTTACTCTGTCACTTGCAGAAACCTTTTTTCTCTGAAATCCTTTGTTTCTCATGTTATGGATTCTATTTGAAAATGTTCTTGGGAATAAAAATCACTTATGGTTATCTACTTCAGTAGATGTTTTATTATTAATCTATTCAGATGATTTGTAAAAGACAGAACTATCATTGGCAAGTCACTTTTTTTGGCTTTCTGTTCTGCAGGCAGTCCAGCTTGCCTCTGCTGCCCACTGCCTACGTCAGACCTGCTGCCTTGACCTCTTGGTGTGATTCTGTAGAGGAATTTAGATTTTATGGATCAAATTTATTAACTTTGCCTGAAAACAGACAACCAGAGACATCTGTAAGGAGATCCCGCTACGGTAGTGAAATAAAATGTCAGGTTATAACTACTGAAAAGTGGTAAACTATGTATTTATTTATCTCTTGGTACTGAATATCCCTGCTTGGAAAATGCCAAATCCCTGGCTGTGTAATACTGTTCAGCACAGGACCTGATGGAGATGGTTGCTGCAGTTCAAACCTATTGAAACACTCTTCCAGGAATTCCCTCTTTCTGCGTATTCTGTGTGGGCTTTTTCTATAGGACAAAGTCTCTAATGACATGTCATTGCATGTTGTTTTGTTTGACTAACGCTGAATTTTGCAGTCCAAAAACGCAAAGTCTGTGTTCTTGTGTGTAATCTTACTATGTTTTTATTTTACTGACTGTGATCTTCAGCAAGCTAGACTGGTTAGATGTCCTTTAGTGGTGTCTGCATTGTGTGTGGTTCACGAGTTCTTTAAATAGTTACACATTGCTGTTCCTCTGAATTCTATTTAAGTGAAATGTATGACATGGACATTTGTGCAGGCTGCATGACTGTACTTTGCTGATTCATACAGGGCACTAGTGATACTTCTGGAATCTTTTTCTGTTTCTGTTCCCTATATTTAGTAGTTTATGATCTTTAAATTGTAATTCTGTTTAGGGTCTTCCTCCTCATTTCTGCCCTGCCTTGACCCATCTGTGGACTGGGGGAATTTTTCTACATCTATCTGGAAAGACAGTGAGAAAGCTTAAAAGAATAATCTTATTTTTCATGACCATTCAGCTGAGAAGATATTGGATTGAAAGGTAATGAGGTGAAATATGTATAAAATTTGCTTAGGTTTTTTTTCCTTCCTGTCTTGATTTATTTTATTTTTATTCAGACAGGTTGCTTATTTCTAAGAGTTCTGGTGTCTGTTTCTTCTTTACATCTCTTCTTATTTTCTTTTTTCTCTTTTCTGTCTCCATTAGGTTTGAAGATATCTTGAGCTTTAGCAGAGGCTGGAGAGCAGCCTCTAATCATGCCTGCCTCTGTTCTGATTTGGATTAGGGCCACAAGGTAGAAAACTTGATTTAGAAAAGAAGTTCATAGTAGTTACTCAAGTAACTTTTCTAAATATCCTAAGCACAAGATCTTGGAGACACATGGGCGTAAGTGTACTAGATTTTGTTTTAGATATAGCTCAAGTTAGCTTCTCTCTGTAAATTTGAATATTATATTTCCTTCATGTGAAAACAAATTAACTAGAATTTTATTTTTTTTTCAAAACATGATCTTTGTGAAGATCTGGTATCTTATGACCAGTGTGCCCCATGTGTAAACTACACTGGCAATTCTACCATCCACTGTGTGGTAGCAATATTGTGATGGCTGAACATAGGAAGCAGCAATGAGGCATGTTTATGAAACTGGGAGCCTTTTACATAAACTTAGTTATAGAGAGGGTGGAGTGAGCAATTTATCAAGCATTCTGGTACATGCCATCAGAGTAGGGCAAAGAACAAAAATCTAAATGTTCAACTTTGAGTTTTGATATCTCTTTATTACACTAGGTTAGAGATATTTTTTGATAAAAATACTTGATGCTTCTGCATATCACTGTTGTCCCTCATGCTTTATGGTTGGGAATATGCATGCAGTTAAAAGTGGTCATTGAAAAAAGCTCTCTACTTAGAGTGGTTGTTGTACTGGTCTTTAGTATCTGCATGTAACAACAGATGATGGCAGAGATCACTCGATAAGTTGGATACCTGCTATCAAAATTTTGCAGATGAAAACTTTTCATGCTTTTGGCACAGTTGAAGTAAGTGCTAAGATTTAGATTTATTTCTGCCAAATTAAGGTTAGAGTTTGAATTTCCAGACTTCTGTTGTAACCACGTTGGTTTGTTAGAATATGTGAAACAAAACTTTAGTAGACAAGACAAGTGTGTGTTTGTTGTTAGAACCCAGTCTTGATAGTACAGGTCTTTCTTTGTGCAATGGTGACAGTGTAAAAGGGAGTGTTAATGTATTTTCAAACTCTTCATATTACTAATACAGCAGTGGGACAGACAGATGATGGGTTAAAGTCCATTTACTGTAGTGAACTTACAGAAGAAGTGATTGAGGAGTTGAAATTATTGTAATGTGCCCTTTTACACAGAAATGTAAGGCATGCTGAGGAAGGATTTATCCCAGCAAAAGCTCATATTTCTTTATGTGTAACAGTGGAGAACTTTCCATTGCCTTTTTTCTTTTAAAGATGTTTGGTTGAGCCGAAACAATGTAGAGATGTGAGCTAAATATGGACACAGTGGAGGGTGAGCGGGGTTTAGATGTGGAATGGAAAAATGACTAGAACCTTGTGCATGTAGATTTTTTTTTTTTTAAGCTGCTTGTGTCTTGTTCTAAGCATAGAAGAGGCCTTAGACAAAACTGCTGAGCTTCCAAAGCTGCTTCTAGATTGTTAATTATGTATATTCATTCTGTTTGATAATTATGTAATTGACAAACCGCAATACCCAACGGTCTCCAGTGTTGCATCTGTGCAGTAGTTTCAAGTAGTAACATCCTTAAGTTTCTGGATGTTATATAAACCATATTTGTGGTAATTTTTTGGGAAGAGAGATGCTGATCTTGTCACACTTCATGGGAGCTGTTCTGATAGCTTTCTTCATTTGAGTGAACTGCAGGAGCTTGCAGTGCAAATCTTGCCATGTCAGAGGGGAAAGAGTTACATGAAAATCTCTGAAATGGTTAAGTGGTACCTATGGAAATACAAATAGAGGTGGGAATCCTGGGCTGGAGGCTCAGTTGAATGAAAGTAGAGAAGAAATACTTAAAATACTGAATGAATTTAAGCTAAGCACTCATAAACTGTATTTCTGTGCTGTTTATTTTCATACACATCCTGTGACAGCAACCCTTCCTTTAAATCATAGATGTCACATGCATTTCATGATGGCTAGTAGCAGGCTACTGCCTTTTCTGTTTTCTTAGATATGTGCATCTGCCAAGACTCGTTTCACATGCTGTGACTCTTCAACTTTGCCTTCCCCTGTGTGTCTGTAAACACCACAAGTTTGGGAAGCCTCTGTGTATCTGTGGAATAAGAATTTCCTTTTTGTTTGTTTGGGGGTAACGGAGAGAACAAGATTTTCTTTCTTCTCACTGTAATTAGTGTTAGAACTTGAGACAATAAATAAAAATTTTAAAACAGCTTAGGCATGGCTTATTGTCCATGAGTCTGCAAAGGACCAATTGCAGAAGTAACCGAGGTGCCCTTTTGGTTGTGCAGGTGTTGAGTGGACTTGGACTGTGCATTGTAGTCCTTTAAGATGTATAGTAGTGCTAGTGGTGATAACTGCTGCCTGCACAGAACGTGTACTGTTTCTGCATTAGTGATGAAAATACTTATGGAAATGAAACTTCATTGGAGAGTTCAGCTTCATTGAGTCTCCTCAGCTACAGAAAAATGGTTTTGATGTATCTGGGTGTTTAAATCATTCAAATGGCAGCTGTGTTCAAGGAATCATGGTGTTAACTCTTGGAGAGAATACAAGCTTTGCATTTTTCCTCTCTATAGGTGAAATCCTTTCGGTTGGCTACAGGCCTACTACGGTTTTTTGCAGTAAATGTATAAAGTTTGCATGGCACAACTAAAACTGCTGCACTGATTTCCCATTTTTAATTTAAATTAAAATGTTTGCATTTTAGTTTTTAACTTGCCAAGTTAGCCCAAGATTAAACTCTGGAATTTTTAGGAAAATGGTTGAAGATGCTCTGCTAAATGCCCTAATAATGTTTATACATTAACTTTGTTGGTAATTTTTTTTCTAGCTACTTGAATGTTTAAATTGAGTAAAACTCATGATGCTAGGGCAGAAAAATAACTGTGCAACAGTGGGATTTCACATTTGTTGTGCACAAAGTCCTAATCAAGTTAAGGGCTGTGGATGGATTCCAGACTGACTTAGGGGTCAGTGGCCAATACTAATTGGTGTTAATGCTGCTGAAATTGTGTAATCAAGTATTGTGCTCATTGTCACAGGGTGCTTTGTGCCCCATCACCCCCCCTCCCTGTTTGGCAACTTATAATTAACTAAATGTTCAAAGGTGGGTTTTTTTATTTCCTTTGTGGCCTTTTTCTCAGACTTGCAGATTCTGGTTTGTGCTAAAGGCAGAAAATTAGGCTCGATGTAGAAAGTAGAGGGAAGTTCAAGGAAATTTAAGTGCAGTGTCTCTGGATGTTAATTGCATCTAATAAATGCAGAAAGCTTAAAAAAGATCTGTTGGTCAGTGGGGGAGTGGAAATATTATGGCTTTGCTTTTTTTTCTTTTCTTTCTAACTGCTAGGAAAGCGCTGCTTCAGCACTGCTCCTCATTAATTTACTGAAACATTTTGTAGGAACATTATCACATATGGCTGGTGGAGATGTGTGTGGGTGTGATGGTCCATTGCTCTCCTCTGCTGATGATACTCCCATGATTGTAACTTACTGTATTTGATGGCTTATTTTGACAATAAATTTTTGGTCTTGTGAGCGAGAGGAGGGAACAAATCTTAAATGGACATTATCATGCTAATTAGGAAACCTTAATCACCATGTAAAGAGTTGTCAGCTCTATCAAGTTTTGATGTATTTCAAATTAATATTCCAGTGGGTAGCTTTTGATAGACAAAATATCTTTGCTGCACGTACTGGCTTTATGCAGAATTCTCGCAATAGTTATTTTATTGCTATTTCTGTGAACTGCCGGGGCATTCTGCTTTAGTAATGTGTGTAGGCTTGGAATAGATTGTGCTGATTATCTCTTTGTCTCTGTGAATGCAGACTTTAGAGCTTCTAAAGTGTGTAATGTTGCTATAAGTAAATTCTGCATGTTTATGCATATGCGTCTCATCTGTGGGAAATGGAAAGGGTTTTTATTAGGATTTCCTTTTTTATTGCAGGGGAACGTTTGAAGTTACCATCATCTTGGTTTTAATCATTCAAAAGTAACAGATAGAACTGATTAGGGAACAAAATTGTTAAAATACAGTTATGAAAGTCTTTTCGAAGTGCCAGTTGGATGGTTGGCAGAGAAGGCAAAAAGCGTGAGGATTTCCCCCCCAAGTATGAAACTCTCAGTGCTTACTGATAAGAAAGAATTATGGTGTAATCATCTTAACTTGCAAATCTGCACATAATTGCAATCACCAGGGTGTTAGGTCTGGGTTTGTATTTTGTTCAGAACAGTTTTTTCATGTGCTGAAGAAGTCATGTGGACTGCGTGCCTCAGTGTTGGTTTGTTATTTTTTTGTTGTTGTTTTGTTTTCCTGGTGGTGTGGGGTTTTGTTTGGTTTTTGTTTTGGTTTATACCTGATCAGCCCTGCTTTTTGTCCAGGTCCACTGGTCAGGTTCTCTCTGCAGGTCCACTGTGCATGCCAGTAACCTCAGTATTTCTAAACCCTCTGTCTAAGTTGCCTTTGAAAGGCTGTGTGTGTTTTGAGGGGCATGCTGTATGAAGGCTGTTAGATGAGTATATTACTTACACCAAAAACATATAATCTAGCAATTTCAGATGACTGGTGCTTGAACTTTGGTAAATGCTGCTGATCCCTATCAGCACAATTGTATAGGGAAACAGAACAGGCTGTTTAATTAAGCTCAGGCTTTGATTAAAATTTTTTGATAATGTGTTGGAAGAGAATGGACTGAATTTGCTTTATGCCAGTGCAACTAATTAAAAAAGGTAAGATTATAAATGTTACATAGATGGGCAGTGCAACTTACCTGTAAAAGAATAAAGAAACTCTTTAGTATAGTTCTTGTGGATGTATT